ACGAAATAGGGTGAATACATCTCATTACACTGATTTACTGGTAGTCTCGAAACCCTACTCACTCACAAAGTTTGTGTTTGTTTTACTCGATGATTATCTTCTTTTGTTCCCCTTCCCTCGAGACGTCAGCGACCGCCGCCTCGTGGAGATGAGCTAGTGCCATTTCTAACCTCGACTGACGAAGAGGATTGTGAATGCAATCTCCACATTTTTCGACCAAGTGTGAAAGTAAGCGACAGTTATGAGGACAGGTGAATAATGTCATATTTGGCCTTATTCGACTGGCTTTCGCCGGGCAAGCAGACACGAGGAACGGAAAGTGACAGTCTGTCAAGGCATCGAATGAAGTGACGAGAAGTTCCGGTCGGCGGGCGGAGAGATGGGCCGGCGGGGGCGAACGGAGGCGGAGGAGGAGGAGGTAGAGGTGGAGGAGGTGTGGCGGAGACAAGGGCTGGGTGAAATTGGTTTATCAAGCGCTGAGACGACGGTGACTTTGACAGCAGCTGCCTCAGTTTCTCCTCGTTTCTCCAACTCTTCTGGCCCTTGCCTCCAGAAGAATTCCTCCACGAGGCTGCATAAACAAACGCGTTATTTGGGCCAGTGCCTTGAGTGCAGAAATTGAAGCACTTTTTTCTGCCCAGAAAATTCCAATCCAACGTTCGACACTGACGGATAAAGAAGCAAAACGGCATCTGTCCGGGAGTGTGTATGTGCGTGTATGTGTATGTGTGTGTGTGTGCATTTGCTAATTTGTGTGATTTGTGTCCCATGTGGTGTTTTGCCATAATGGGTGTGTACGCATGTGTGCATTTGCATGCTGACATTCATGCATTAGGTACATGCATGTGTGCGTGCTTGCGAGGGTGTGTGTGCGTATAATAAAGCTGTTGTGTGGACAGGAATGGGACAATTCGTTGCCGAGGCGATGCGAAGCAAGTGACTTTCGTGTGCCCGGGACATCAAAGGCGAGGTCGAAGTGATTGCCGTTGGCATGATCAACAGGCCCGACATTAAGATATGGGCAGACGTTCTGGAACTCTGGCATGTGTGTGTGTGTGTGTCTCTGTATTCGGTAACTCGTGAAGGTTTCTTTGCTGGCCTGCATGTCTGTCTGCCAAATAGAGGTTGGGGAGGGGGGAGAAGAGTGAAAAAAAGTGAATAAGCCGTAGAAACCCAGTCTCCAGTAGCCGGTAGAGCCGAGTCCCGTCGTATTTGTGTCTTTTGTTTACGAGTTATTCTCTTGTAAATGGCGTGAATGCATAGCCTCTTGCCTGTGATTGTGCGCATGCCTGGCTGTATATCGATGTGCATGTGCATGTGGATGTTCATGTGGACGTGCATATGGACGTGCATGTAGATGTGGATGTGCATGTGCATGTGGATGTTCATGTGGATGTGCAAATGGACGTGCATGTAGATGTGGATGTGGTTGTGCATGT